TGTTTGAACAGCTAAAAAAATTGGCCAAAGCGGTCAAAATTTCTCAAATTTGATATTTTTTGATATTAGCCAAAACAGAAAAATCATAAATGCTAATTATGGCATAGTTAATGATTATTTTCTAATCATTGTAATTCTACTAAAAAGATACATATATTTAAATTTCAGTATTATTCATTCAAACTTTTCCAATGTTTTTTTTTTAAAACATTAACAGCTATAATAGCCATAATATAAAATAATAGTAATTTAAGGACCCTTGGCCAATGGTTGGAACAAATAATCCATCCACTAACAAAAGAAAAATTACTAAACGTTTACAATTACTGTATCTTTCCTCAACTAATAATTGTAACAATATCAATATACACATTCCTCTCAGAAATGTGATCCACCACCATCAATTCTTATTATGTTCAGTTGAATTCACCTCCAAGTTACAGAAAATGATTTTCTCAATCTTCATTACAATGTAATCGGCAACGTTGTCAATGATTTAGACAGAAGTATGTATTATTGCAAAAGTATAAGGCCACTCACTATAATATAACAAGCACTTTAATGACAAAGATGTTGGTGTTCATTTGATTGCAAATTATTTTTTTGTATCTTTTGATATAGACTCTATCCCTATTAAATATGCATTTCAAATATTTTAGTCAAAATAAAATAATGTCAATTTTATATAGAAGCGTAAACTACTGGTTGTGTAAATTAAGCTAGCAGCAAAACTAAACAGTCTCTTGCAGAAATGATTGTCTCGAAAGACATGAACCTAGTAAATTTAGATACAAACGTCAAGAAAATAAAAGTGAAAGTAATAATAGTAGCCGCTTCCTTATTCATCAAATCATCCAATTTGAAATTCCTATTGGTGACAACAATAACGATAATGATAAAATAGAATTATCGAAAGTTCCAAATTATAAAATCATGAAAAAAATTACTTTAAATATGTGCGTTCCAGAGATGAATAAAGAATTATCATCATTGTATATATATTGCAATGATACAAGAAGAATAATTATCATTGAAATTATAATTTGAATTAAGAATTTACTTAATTGTGCGAAACTAATTATTATTGTATATTCTCTTTCAAAATAAAAATGCTCTACTTTTTTACAAATTGAAATTATTTTTTTATTAAATGAAAAAATCAAATTGTTCTTTGGTGCCTGAGTTCGAAACATACATGAACAGGTCAATATTGGTATATAGAGCAACTTTAAATGCATACAAGTTGTGTTTTTTCGAATTTGACTTTGAAGTTAACTAAAGACTAGTGCCGTAAATTATGATGATGGTAGTAATTGTATTTACGGCATATAAAAAGTGGTTGCAATTACCT